AAATTTTCCCATAAGGTTCAATGTAATTACCGTTAATCCGTTCCGGTGTCCGTGGACCACGTGTCAAGGGCGGAAAAACGGCCGCAGACCACGCGGCAGGGCGGAAAAACGGCCGTGGACCTCGTGGCACGGGTGGAAAAATGGCCGCGGACCACGTGGCATGGGCGGAAAACGGCCGCGGACCATGTGGCACGGGCGGAAAAATGGCTGCGGACCACGTGTCATGGTGGAAAATGGCCGCGGATCCGGTTCGTCCCCCGAGGCGGAGTTCGCAAACCGAGGTAAATTTTTGCGGCCAGAGCTGGTCGTAACCCGAAAAGTTCGTAAGCAGAGGCGTTCGTAACCCGAGGTACACTGTATGTTGTATCAACTCTAATCTGCATGAATGATCCACTTAACTAATCCAGAGGGTGTTTGATTTAGCCCCAAACAGACCTTGTATTGTGATATGGAATAATCACTCAATTGAACCTCTCTCAGAACATCCTTCTCCTTGAGAATTTAACTCCCTATGTCATGGTGTGTGTGTGTGACAAGGGGGCAGAAAAGGGTCAGGATCAATAAGCCCTGTGGATTCTGTCCACAGTAAAGATGGAATGACAGCCTTCCTTTGCCTCTTTGGTGGCCACTGGGAGGACTAAAAAATTGGTCACCACACAGCAGACTCTGTCATCTGCTGCCAGCACACAAAAGCAGACTGGGAGAGAGTCTGATTGTGTCATCTGGCACTCTCTGATTTGTAATAAAAGAGTGAAACTGGCATTTGCATTTTCTCTTATCTGGGTTTATAATGTCATAGTCCCACTACTCTTGTAACAAGTGAGGAGTTTTGAAAAAATACATGGGTTCAACGTGCAATGAAATAACAAGAAAAATAAGTCTTCCAAGGGCTTACTATTTTCAAAGGGATATTTGTGGGCAGGTGCCAATTTCCAGCCACTTGCAATGGATGATGCCTATTTAGGTTTCTCATTGCCCCAAGGGTATCCTGCTGAAATCACAATGAGGGGAAAGTGCGGGGCGGGAAGGACCGCAGCAGTTTCAGAGCCTTCTTTGTTTTGTATGTGTAGGACAAACTCAACTACATCAAGAACAAGGCCAAATCCTGGCTGCGGTTGAAGATCTGATCTTTAGTTTAGTCATACCTTTCCCAAGCCAGGACCCACTCTACAATATTTCTAAGCAGTAAAATAGTAGTACTTCTGTTTTCCTTCGAAGTACCTCTAGCGTAGTCAGCTTGCCATTCACTGCCATGAAGCAAAAATATCCACAGCATCCTGAGCACAATCTCAGCGGTAAAAGCAGTATCAGTTTCTTTTACTACCTTCCTCTGCATAGTGACCATGGAATCAATGGTTGCCTGTGGAAGATTTCCCAGGGTCCTTGTTGGTATACTGCTAAGAAGAGCTAGAAATAAGGTCGGGAAAACAGGTTTTTTGTCCCAATGCTACGCTGTGTACCTGGGACAACCTGCAACTTTTCTCACCTGCCTGTTCCATTAGTGAGTGGGGAATGAGAATAGATTTTGCATGGTTGTCGGATGGCCTTCTTAGTTTAGGCACACACCATATCTAAAACACAATATGCCACACTATTTGCAGCATCTACTCCTGGCCAATTCTGCCTTGAAACACCTTGTGAAAATGTAGCGTTCTATCTAACAGAGGCTCCATGCTTAGTCACATTAAGTCCTTGGCTGCTAATTATAATGGCCAAGTAGGCAGCTAATGAGACCCCTCATCTTTGTGGTGCTGATTAAAAAGGTTTGGACTGTTATCTTTTTAACAAGAAACACATTCAGGGGCTGGAACCATGAAATCAATTTGATTCTTTGTTAATACACCCTGGGCCGGCATGCTAGCTCAGCATTGGCTTAATAGATGTTAGGAATTTAGCCTGTCAGTTCAATACTCCATATTAATGTAAACGGCTCATCTCGGAAAACAGTTGCGTTATTTAGTTAGGAGGGAAAAGGAAAATAATGGCTTGAATAAACTGGGCTCTGAAGTAATCTTAAACTTGTATAATATGCTATTTGGAGGAAATGAAGAGTGATTTTTTGCATTTAGGATTACATGTTCTCAATCTAGGGCTGAACTTTTGGGCAAATTAAAAAAAATAGAAAAAATTCTAGAACTTTTAGGAGAGTTGCACCGTCAAGCTGAAAGCCTGGTGAAATAAAATGTTTGAAGCAATAAGCCTAAAAAATTCATTTAAGGTAAAGAATAAGCATGGAAGAAATACATGTTTTAAAAATAGTATTGTGATGGATTGATGCAGTTATGCAGGTAGGTGATCTATAGGGTGCTCAACTACATAACTAGGGGAGATCAAGAGAGGGAACTATGTGGTCAGCAGACTGAAACAGCATACTGTATGAGTAGGTTTGGGTGTGGTCTGCCGGCAAGATTCGAGAACAAGGATTGCCCTTTTGTCAGGATAAAGATATCACCTCTTGCCAGGTATTTCTGCTTTCTTCATGAAGCCATACATGTGAATTGTACAGTCCACATGGACCACCTCATATACACTAGACGTATATTCCACCCATCTGAGACAATGGAGACTGGACACATTTTTTCAGCCATTTTGTTTTCTCTGCTCCTCATATAATTTTGCAACTACATCAGATAAACCCTGCGGGCCACTAGCTTACATGTTGAGTGAAAACCAGTGAGAGGACCACCACGCTAGCACAGCTTACCTGTCTGCGAAGTAACCGTTCTGCACATGGAGAACGCACAGGTGGAGCAACTTTGGGTTTGCTTTCCCAGTCAAGATTGTATTGGGGCTTGAGGGGGTGGAATCGATCTCTTCCAATGTGTAGAACAGCATCAATACTTGCAGGCTGAGACTGCACTGACGTTGTTGATCCTGAGGAAAGGATAGGAAACTTAAGAACTATCATATAACACATTCCATTTCTTAATTCCGTTTCTACTTAAATCACATTCAGATTCTTTCTAAAGTATCAAACTCATGTCTCTATTTTGGGACTTACTGATATGGTTAAGTCTTGGACTTGCCTTGAATTCAAGACAAGAGCAGTGGCAACTGGTTGTATCAATAGTAAAGGAACTATGTGGATGGGCTTCAAACTCTAGAAAAGCTGGAAATTCTGGATCAGAAAGCAGCTAAGAGTTGTCTAAAGAGAGTACACCCACAACTGAGTACAGATCTCATCTCTGTGGTAAGGCTTGCAGGTACTTTATGTTATTGCAACAGAGGTGGTGTGCTTGTCATATACCTCCTATCCATTTCCATAAGTTAGCTCTGGAGGAGATGGGAAGACCTTTCAGAGTAGGGTTGGGGTGTTTTTGGAGTGCATATGAGAAGAAATAAAGTCTACTCTGGGAATTCAAAGCCTATAACCTAGTAATACCATTCTCTCTCTCTTAGAATCTTGGTTTTGATAAGAGGAATGGATACTTAAAAGAACCCCATTTAATCAATAGTGATATGGCATTATGAAGAAACTGTCACAGCATTCTAAACTCTGTTTCTGCTAACAAATTCTCACAAAGGAAAACAAATAATTGTGTGTGACTAGATCTTGATTAAGTGACCACCTAATTGATATGCTTAAGTCTATAATGTTATCCAGAACCAGACAGAGTTCAAACACAGAAAATAGACCCAGAAAGAGGTCAGATATACAATTATGCTAGTTAACAACCTAGCACAGTCTGGATGACAGCCTCACAGAAGTGGGATGAGAAGTGGTGGTGCTTCCCCGGTATGGTTGTCCTTTCTTTCAGAAAATAGGCAGCAGAGCTATTCTGCCACTGCCTCCTCTCACTGAAGATGTCCCTGCTCTTTCACCATATCAGTGCCCAAGTGTAGAAATCACTATAAATTGGAAGGGGGATCAGAGGGAGAGTGCTGGCCATGAGACATTTAGAAGGTGTGATCCAAGATATATGTGGTGGTTGGTCGTAGACAGTTATTTTGCTCCTGTCACAGATCAGTTTTATTTTCAAATATTCCATATTCTTCCAAACCAGGGCTTTTGTAAAATAGAACAGTGCTGTTTTTTGTAAACTCCCAATTGAGTTATGTCTTTGGTTTTTCTGGGTTCGTGGAGAGCTCAAAGCAACATCCAGTTCTACCTGATCTGCTGAGTTCTTTAGGTTGCAAATGAACTTGTCTCTGCACCTCGAATAAATAATATATTATGGGAAAAGGTATGATGTAAGGCAATCTCATGGTCTCTTGCTCAGTTCCTGATTTACAGAAGAAAGGCAGGCATGAAAGGTGAGTGCCTACAGGTTTCTTGCAAATGCTTCTACCATTCTCTGGCTACCTTTTTATTCCCGGATCAAGGACTGTAACATTTGTAATGCACAGAACCTTGTAAAGCTTTTCCCTACAAGATCCAGCATGATCTTTTTGTAAAAAAAGCAGTTAGAAAAAGTAATTCATTTTATCTGGGCCATCTCCCACAGAAAGAACCTCATTTGTCCTGGGCTGTTTCCCAGAATACCAGCCCTGTTATGCAGGAGTATTGAAACAAATAACTTTTGCAAAGGCCAAGTTTACTTAAACACAACGTTGTTTTCCAGCTTGAAATATTATGTTAATCTTATTAACTTATTGGTGATATATAGCCTTATGTAACCGCATAGCACTTTAGAGAATTGCATATTAGTAAACGGAGGCCACTGCATTCAGTTCTGAAAAGCAATTATTTTACAGGTGCTAAGTATGTCAAACCAGAGGCGGGTCTGTTTTGGTCAGAGGTCAGGTTTCATCAGTGGCAGAACATCAGTGAAATTAGGGTCAAAGCCCACGTGAAATTAGTGTGAGGGTTGCGGGTCACCCATCTCTTCATACTACACTGTATTAGGCTGTCAAATGGCAAAGAAGTGTAATCATTCCCCGCATAATTTTCAGCCAGTTTCTCTTTTCGTTTCTTTAATTCTAGAGTGTTCTGCCAACTATAGCTCCATACCTTAAATGGAACCACAGAAAAGGTTTTCACACATCACAAATGTGTAAAGGTACTACAAACAATTAAAATGAACAATAAATTATCATTTGTAATCGTGAAATAGCCTGCTTTCTGTTTCATATGGTTTGATTTCCTACTTGAGGGATAATTCAAAGAGCCCCTGATTCATTTCTGGGTTATGAAATACATATGTCTGTTTTCTTTTTGGCCAAGGACATGAACTTGCTTTTATAAACAGAGAGAAAAAAGTCTGGAGAAAAATATTCACAAACAAAGACTGCACAGTCTAGTTAGAAGCCTATCATTCATAGATCCCCCTCCCATTTTATGCTATGCAGATTTGATTCCAGGTGAAAAGTCCAGCCATCTCATGTTTTCTCTGAAGGCCCTTTCCTCTGGTCTGCCTGTTCTCAATGGTCAATCACATCAGAATTGTATTACTTGCTTCCTCCTGCAGGTGTGGGCTCCCAAAATTGAATGCTCCCTCTTTTGCTCTTTTCATACAGAGTAGTCCTAGAGAGATAGTTTGGAGTATTGATTAAGGCATCAGGCTAGAAACCAGGAGAGCATGAATCCTAGTCCTGCCTGAGACACGAAGCCAGCTGGGTGACTTTGGGCCAGTCCTCTCTCTCAGTCCTGGGAAGAAGCAGGCCAGGGCAAATCACTTCTGAAAAATCTTGCCAAGAAAACTGCAGGGACATGTCCAGGCAGTTGCCAGGAGTCAAGAACTGACTTGAAGGCACAAACACAGCGCCTACTCAGGTATTTTGCTTTGTGTTTAATGAGCACATAGCACTGCTTCCCTGCTTTCCTGAGGCATTTTTCTCTGCCACAGGAAGCACTTGTGATGATGGCCTAGGTGTTGAGGGACCTTAAGAACATACAGAGCTCTTTCCAGGCACCATTTCTATTACTTCCCAGGGATCTCCTCTGCTCTGAAGGTGGCTTTCTGGAGTTTGGGCTGAGAAGGATGCACAATAGAGACTGTAGCCTCTAGCGTAAGAAGTTCCCGCAGGCATTCTTAAAGAATAAGCATGGTGGACAGACTCAGGTCTTTGTTTAGAAGGGCACCTTCTGCTTGGGGAAAAAGGGTCAAATAATGGTAGAAAACATCCCAGGCTAAGAGGAGATGGAGAGACTGAACTTCAGCCAGGGGTCCCCTGGGGATGGATGGTTTGAACTTGCCACCCAGAGTGGTGCCATTTTGAGACTAGGCAAACTGTCCTACAGCAATGCTTTTGCATATAATCTAGCAATGGATGGGATGGGAAGGAAATAATTTCAGTGTTTGTGGTTACTTCCTCTTGCACCCAATGCTATTTCACTGTCTTTACAAATCTTTAGTGACACAAACAAAATGGGCTGCTCCTGAAAATAAATACATAAATACCCAGCTCTGGCTTGTTTTTAAAATGCTGAAAGATATTGAAAGCACTTCCTCTATTTCAAGGGTGGCCAACTAAATTATTTGATAATGCTGACTGTGAAGAAAAGGAGCCATTCTGTCTTGGAAGCAGCTAAAAGATGTACGATGCTGTGGGTAACAGGGATCTCTTTTGTGCTTAGGGTCCTTACGTTGATCCTTGGACATTTTTATTTTTCCAGGTGTTTGAAGAAACCAGTTTAGAGTTTAGGACACCATGTCCCAAACATTTTAGGAAAACAATATTGTTTTGGTGTAGGTTCTGCTAGGACTTTACCTGCTGTATTTATTATTGTTTTTATTGTTTTATATGAGTATGTTGCTGCTTTTTTGTTTTATCTTGTATTGTTAAGAAATTTGTACACTGCCTAGGGAACTGTGATTATTGGTTGGTTTATAAATGTCATTCATATTCACATACAAATATAAATTATGGATATTCTAGTACTTTTTAAAAATAGATACCATGTCTACATGTTAGCTCACCTTCGCTATAAAACTATGTTCAGTTTTTTATTGTATTACCAACTAGGCTGGTATTGCATAAGGCTTTAGTGTTTTTTTCGCCAAGATTTTGTTGTTGTGCTGCCCTGAAATCAAGCTTGATTCCTTGATTTTGGCATTCTAAATATTGACAATTTTATAAACTCTTCTGCTACTTTGAATATTGCATGTGATTTTACATTAATTTGTGCTAAGCTAAAGTGTTAAGGTACACTTGCTTTGCTTAATAGCTATAGTTTCTGCATTTTTATTCCTGCTGCTAAACAGCAAATGTTCTCATTAGTATGCAAATTTCAATATCTTTCTAATCTCGTCACATATTGTACCCTTCTGAACAGTATTCTCAAGTGCTGGCTGATGGCACTTGAAAATAAATTCTACTTGATCCTGAAACATGTTTTCTGAGAGAAGGTTGTGGAGAGGAAGTAGTCTCAGACCAACGCCTAGATTTCTTGTTAAGAATGTCTTGCTTCTTCTTCCTGGGACTTCAATAAAATTGCTTTTCATTGCAGAGAGGGGAGAGGTGATGGTGCAGTTTAAACTCTTTAGAAAAACGAATATTGTACAGATGCTCTCCTATCACTTCACATTACTGCTAAGGGAGAGCAGTACTTAGTCTGAAACAAGTTATAGTGGCGAATAAAGGGTTGCCACACAAAATAACAGTCCTGCATCATTCCCTGTCCTCACCCTGTAATATGTTCTGAGATGCAATCTCATCGTGTTGTGCATTCTTCTTCCTCACCCATTCCACCCTTCTTCACTTGGTCAGACAGAATTTGCAGCAGCACAACAGCAACATTCACAGTTTTCATTGTGCTGGGAAGAGGGGTGGAAATGTCATGCTGGAGACAGGTTTTTTGGTGATGTCCTAGCATCTGATGTAAATTAATCTAGCACGTCTGAGTTCTAATTTTCACATTTTTAAAAAGTGTACACCTAAGATATTTCCCAATGGAGAAAACAAGTGATGACATGAAATGACTTGATGAGTGTACTTACAGCAGTGAAGGACAAGTTTAATAATCAAAAGATTTTGAGCAAGTAGCCATTTCTAAAAAAGACCAGGTTCTCTTGAGAATAAAGGCCTTACTGTGCATTACATGGGTGTGTGATTCATGGGAAAAGCTGTTTCAGGATGGGCCAATGGGCAAAGCAATGTGAATCAGATGGTCTTTAATTCTTCTCTGATCTAAATTAATGCCATGCAATTTCATATAGAACTTTGTAGGGGAAGAGTTTATAGCAGAGAAGCAACAGGAAATTAAGCCCTCCTGTCAGCCGAACCTGCTTCTTGTCCTCATCATCCGTTTCCAAAGTCAGTCAGTCAGGGTGACTTGTATGGATTTATGTGTCATGCCTGTTCAATTCAGCAAAGGCAGTTAGCTGTCAGTTTCTTATCCAGGACTTTGGTTACAGCACTAGACCCTTTCTTCTTCTATACAGTTTGATAAAGACTGCAAATTATATCCAAGGTCCAAAAGGCTAAAAAATAGCAAATAAACAAACCCACACCTTCATAAAGATTTACCTGGGAAACCACATTTGCACATTTAAAGTTTGTTGTTGTTGTTGTTTTTTAGACAAATGCTTTGTACCTGACTGAGATTTTTGATGGGATGCGTTTTTTTCTCCCGAGGAAGCATCGTAAGGGCCAGTATCTGGAGCCTGAAACATATAGCTGTCGTTCGGCAGAGAGTGGGTGCGGCCCACAGAAGGCTTCCCTACTCTCAGGAGATCCTGGTTTGACGACAGAATCAGGGGGTCATTAATGGAAGGAAGATCAGTCTAAAAAAAAAAAGAGAGAAAGAGAACGTCACAGAAGTGGAGAATAATGCGCCTGTCGGAAGTGTGGTGACAACCACTGCAACAGACATGGGATGTGGCAAGCATGCAGTTTATTAGGCTGTACAACTTGTAATATAACCAAATGGAATTGCACAAATGAGTTGACCAGGAAGCAATATTCCTATGTTTGTACTATTACTAAAGCACCACACATAGAATGAACCACATTAAGAACAAAATATACAATACAGGGGAACAGAGAAACAACATTGCAACTATAAACCATGACTATTTCAGGTTTAACCGAACAAGCATCATGCCTCAAGGCTTGGTAACAGTTGCACGCTTTGCAAAACTTTAATCCTTTAAATGAGTAATAAAAATCTTTTTACTCCCTTCCCAATCAAAGGAGGCTTTTGCAGGAATCTGTTCATAATCCTAGTTAATTTTCTTAACAAACAGGGAGCTATGGAATGTATTCTGTTTGCGACCGTGATTTTGTATTGCTAAAAAAAATTGGCTGCATAGACAAGCAGAATTACAAAGGGACTTTGATGATGTATTTTCAGCAATAAGAAAAATACATTTTAAAATAAAAGATCTAAATAGTAAAAATGTACTGTTACAAAAGTCTCTGGTCTTATTCTAGTTTTCATAATAGCTGAAAAATTATCTATTAGAAAATCTTGTAAGGATTTTCTAAACTAATTCACAGTAAAACAAAAAATAAGTAGTGTACATGATATTAAGCTGTAGATTTAGCCAATAATTTATAATTTCCCTATTATATAGAATTAATTTAACTCTTGTTTCATTTGAGGACTTAAATATTAGATTCATCTATAGCTAATGATTCAGATGAACACAATTAACTGTATTCTACACCACTATCAAGTCTTTTTAAAATCTCTTAAATCAGATGATATCCTAATTCAATCAAAGTCAATTGAAATAATGCTGTACACAAATTCAATAATTTTTCTCTCCCTACTGCAATGATATATTTCATCTTTTGGCAAATACTGGCCCACACTCAGATGGCTTCAAAGAATATATGTACAATTTGGGGAAATTCCTTTGACGAGATAAAATTGACATTCATTATGCTTAGAATATGTCTATACCAGCAGCTCCATCTGTTGTCTACATATAGTATTTTTTTACTTTTACTATCTTTATTTTTGTGCATACATTTGCTCCTCTTACAATACTGTTAGCCTGATCCAGACCTGGGTTACTTCCAAACAAGGCTTTCATCACTCTGCCTTCACAACCATTCCTACTTTTCCCATGGCTTCATTTCTCTTAGCAGAAATAGACAACTGTTAAGGTAGGAAAGATGGAATAGTTGCAGGTCGTTGTTTGGTTTGAAGCATCTAGAATTACTCCAATCAATCCCTTTCTGAAACACCTTAATGATACTTAAGAATAGATGTACTACTAATAGTAGGATGCATTAGTCATTACTAACTTAAGACCCATTAATTTCAATGATGTATGATTTGATTTAGTCTGGATCCAACCCAATATATTTAGAAATTACTGATTTTTAAAAATGTGAATACACACACGTGTGTTCTTAGAGATTGAACTTGTCAAATTATGGAACTGTAAAATAATTGGATATTGTACAAATTGAAACAGCAAGAGTGAAAGTTTCAGTGGAGATTAGTGAATTAATCAACATAAATAAAATGTTAATAATAAAAAAGAACAATATTAAAGCTCTTTGGTGTGATTAGAATAAGAAAGACATGATAATAGCTTAGATGAAGAGTAATGGAGAATATTTTCCATTGTTGTATTTAAACACCAATCTTAATTAGTACCAGTTTTATGAAGAACTCACTTTTTTACGACTAAATCATACTGAGAAAACATACCGGGGTAAGACATCAGATTAAGTCTAAATATTGTAGGCCACACATAACTAATTTAATACACCGTGAAAATCAGTTGGTGCAGCTATACTCATAGTTTCCTAAGAAGAAGCAAAACTTATTTTATAGTTCTGATATATCTGAAACTGGCACTAAAACAAAAAATTATTTGATGAATTTTGTAATATACTGAACTCTTCCAAAATATTTAACAAAAAAAATAAAGGGCCACATTGTAAAAACATAGCTTTTCTCAATTGTATGATAGTGCTGAAAGTTGTGTTATCATTTCATTTTTGTTATATAACTTCTTGTTAATATTGAAGGTATGCATTACTAAATGATTTTTTAAATTTGTTTATAAGCTTCTGCAGATATAGTTTGCCTGAAGTAAGAGATCTTAATATTCTCACCAAGTAAACTTACTGACATGTAATTTGATACAAGTAATCTGTGGGACTTTAGAGTTTGCCAGAGCCAGAATCCTACTTCATGATTTATCTTTATAGAAGGTAAAATGCTCCCCTTGTTATGCAGTATCTCATTTTGAATGGGAATTCACCATTCAAAGACTTTCACTGAAGCATTCTAAGTCTTTTGGAAATGATGCCATGAAGCATGATGGGAAATACTGTCACGGTTTAAAAGAGATGTGTCCCACATAAGTAATAACTGTTATGGCAATCTATTAGAATGATAGAAAATTCATCAACACAACACATAGCTAAAGGTAGATATGTGAACAGGAGAAAAATAAGAATGGATCCACTTAATGTTGGGAAGGAGTTATGTCTGTTGTACAGCAGAAATAAAGCATTTGATTGCTATTAAGCAGCTATTAATATCTAATGTTTCAGGAGGAGATGGTTGAAGCAGGGCTCAAAATACTGGTTTCATAATTTTTTAAAAAGCCATTCTTTACTCTAAAATGTCTACAATGGAAGTAGAACTATTCTTGATTTAAATTTTAGAATGTAAGTTGAGAAAACTGTAAAAAGCATTTGCTGCCAAACCTCCTAGACATGTTTGTAGAAGAGTTTGGATTCAAAGGTGGGATCTTATGTCATGGCATTTTCCATGTGTCTATAAGCAATGCAATCGCCTTGAGGTTGCTTGATTTACTTTTCAAGAGAAACTGATTTTCTTAGTGAATAATACATATGATAAAGAGTAGAAGTACACCTCAGAGGTAGTATCGAGGGTAATCCCACATGAAATAGATTTCTTTGTGCAAATAAAAGGTTAAGAACTGTTCATCTGAAAATGCCATAGCTGTTATTACCCGCTTGATAACAGTATTTAGAACCCTGTAAACATCATAAAATACAGTGACCAGTGTATGTACATTGCTCTCCAGGGCATTAAGTAAGAGTGTGTTATTATCATCAGGTAAAGAGTCATCCGTCAGAGCTAAGGACCAGGAATTTTCAGAGAGAATATCTGACGTCAGAGACAAAGCCTCCATCTCAGCTAGAGGGATCTAAACAAGGGAGAGATGATCAAACATAAGAAACCAGGACACATGTAAATGTCTTTGAGAAAAAAAGAATGCTATTACCATAATCATTAACATCTGAACACTGAGGTGCTTCTCCTCCTAATAAGTGCATTTGTGTCATGCACATGATTATGTAGATAAGACCATAAGGAAAAGCAACTAAGCTTTTTTTTTTCTTCCCCTTTTTTGTAATTATTTTAACCAGGCTTACAAATAAGTAAAATGGAAATCATAAACTGCACATTAATATGCATCAATTAATACAACCTTTGAGGGTTCAAAGTGCCAGCAATTCCAGAATTAAAAAAAAAACAACTATTCTAATTACATTTAAAAGATACATCTTTTCAGAAATATCATAATTCTATGGCTCCAAATTTCAAAACACTAGGGCAGTATTGTCTTTCTGGTAATCACTCTCTCAGATATTTCAGTTTGTTTGTTTGCTTTAATGAATTTAGCAAACTGGGAACTGAGGAATTATATAATTAAGTCTGGTTGCACCTAAAGAGGCTACGATTCTCCAATTTTTGAACAGAAGGAACCCTGGGCTTTATCACAGGGCTTGGCAATGCAGAGATTCTGGGTGCCAGCATAACAGTTGTTCCCCAAATTGTGCAACTCACCCCCATTAAAATGATTTTTAAAACAATTTTAAAGCCATTTAAATTTAAAACTTGCAGGACTCTTGACATGAGTAATCTCATGAGATTTTGGCTTGTCCTTTTGTGGAGGAGAGGCATCTGGCATCACACAAGATCATGTCTCTGAGGTCTGAAAGAGTTACCAACCCCTGTCTTATTGCAATCTTCGGAAAGCTTTACTGTACCAGGCTCAACAGGACTTTAGTTATGCAGCAGAGGAACTCTTACCACAACACACTGGATCTAGTCTCTGTATTTAAATGTCAAGTGTTCAATGTAATCTTTCTTTTTGATTTTATGTCATAGAAGATAAACATCAAATAGGAGAGCTAAAACAAGTTAGCAGTTCTGATTTCAATGATCCTTTAGTTTTATATACAACAGGTAGGTGAAATTAACACTCAGAACTGGAATTCGTATAGTGAGCGCCATGTTTTCTACCAAGAGTAATATTTTGCCAATCCCTTTTTTGCCAAGAGATAAACAATTTCAAGAAAAACAAACAGAAATGAAGATGATCTCTCCATCCCAAGTCTTAAGGTCAAGGGTATGTAGATTACACACTCCTTTAATCACGCCAATAGCATGGTTAAAGACAGGGCATGTCGAGAACCACAGAAGTGACCTTGCAGAAGGAATGCAGCAGTTAGCCAAACATGAATTAACCCGGGAAAGGAAGAAGGGGTTGGAAAGAAACTTGAAGTGTGACTCTGCCTTGACTCTCTTCAGTCTAAGAGGGAGGGAAGGGAAAATGCTCTCAGGATTTCAAGATTGTTACTACTGTATAGCCTATATCAATAAAGTGGAGTTCCATTATTTCTTGTGGAGTCTGTTTCTTGCCCTGGTTTACCTTGAAACCTAGGTCTTAAATTTATTTATTTTTATACATTTAAAAAATGCCTCTCAATAACAATTTGAGAAAAATTAATGTTTCAAGACAGATTATTTCAAGTAAATAGGCCAAACATTTTGATTTATGGCATCAAAAAATTTGAGATATAAAAGTTCAGGGATATTTGTTCAGTTTTCTCTAACAGCTTTAATGAAATAAGAATTTCACATGGACACATGCATTATATATATGTTGCGGTCATATAGCACAACATCACATGACTGTGCTGACTTACAGTGGCAGTTCCAAGAGTTTCCATTGCAGTCATTAAGCAAATCCTGCACAGTCGTTCTCCTCGATGTCACATGATTGCCATTTGCAACCTCCAGCCAGTTTCCCCATTGACTTTGCTTGTCAGAAGCCAGAAGTGAAGGTTGCAAATAGCAATCACGTGACCGCCAGATGCTGCAACCATTGTACAGTAATTGCAAGCCAACTGTCAAGCACCTGAATTGCAATCACGTGACTGTGGGAATGCTGCAACAGCTGCAACTTTGAGGACCAACTGTAAGTCTCCTCGTTCAGTGCTGTCATAACTTCAAACGGTTGCTGAATGAATGATTATTAAAGAAGGACTACCTGTGTATGTAATGAAATTTATCACAAGAAGTTGAATTTTCGTACATAATCATTTTCATTAAATACTTTTTCTTTTAAGATCTAAAGGGGGTCCTATAATGATAAATGTTTTGCACTGTGTTTTATATTTTAGACTTTATTACAAAAACCGTGTAAAGGTGTTATTGTTAAGAAAGCAGACCCAATATTGTCATTACATTTAAGAAATGATCCTAATGTGGATCTTTATTTCTAAGTAAAGTTCCCAAAGTATGATGTATCACTGATGAAAATTTCCTTCCTTCCTTCCTTCCTTCCTTCCTTCCTTCCTTCC